GAATTGCTTAAATCAAGAACGGTTGATCTCAAATCAACTTGATATATATAAGGAATGTACTTCAACTCACTGATTCCACTCTTACTCTACAGAAGAAACATTTATATGTTTCAATTCCTATAGTAAAAATATCAACCAAACTGGTGGAACAACAAGCTTCATAAAAAAAAAACTAATTTGGGGTGTTTGAGTTTGATTATTTTTTGTGAAGAAGAAAAGACAATAGATTAGATTGTGAAGAAGAAAAGAAAGAAAAATAACAATAGAAAAAGTGGGCATTCACGTTCGGGTCTTCATCCCAGCCGTTGATTTCGATCCAACGACTAAAAGTGTTGTCCTCAAATAAGCGTCCGTACCAGAGAACATCTCCCGTATTTTTTACTTTCTTTGTTTTGTTTTTTTTGGTCAACCCCGTATTTTTTACTTTGTTTGTTAACCCTATTTATTTCCTTTTTTCCTTTTTCTTCCTTTTTTTTTTTGGCCTGAAAACAAAACCCCATCATAAACCCTGAAAGAACTACTCACTTCAAACTCTCGCAGCTCAAAAATGAGCCGAAGACATTTGAAAACTCTGCTCTTGCACTCAATCTCCACCATGTCATCGTCCCCTCTTAAATCCAACCCCCTTTTCACCACAAGTCAATCACAAGCCTTCCCTTCTCCATCCAAATTCTTTCACCAAAATCTCAAACTTTGCCAGGCCAGATTCCTTTGCACTTCTTCGCCTGACAATCTCGATGGTCTGGTCGATCCTGACGACTTGTCAATGCCTGGGAGTTCTGGAGTTGAGTCTATTTCGGCAGAGGAATTCGCCTCTTTGCGCGATTCGGTGTTAGATACCAGTGCCGGTGATGGGTCTTCAACGCCTAAATTTGAATCAGATAAGTTTTCTAATAATGCCATTTTGATTTCGAATAAGATTAGGAATTATAATGATGCGTTTGGTGACCAAACCCAGAAGTTTCTTAGGCAGTTTAGGGATAATCTGAATGAAACTCTGGTGATGGAAGTACTGAAGCTTATTCGATATCCTGAATTAGGTGTGAAGTTTTTCATATGGGCAGGTAGACAAATTGGGTATAGTCACACTGGTCCTGTGTATGATGCCTTGTTAGAGTTATTGGAGTGTGGTAGTAATGATAGAGTACCAGAACATTTTCTCCGAGAAATTAAGGGTGATGATAGAGAGGTGATCTTGGGTAAGGAGATCTCTCTTTTTTGAGTGAGCCGAGCCCATGTGTATTTTGGTTTTAGGGATCGGGTAGTATAGCCACCCTATCCGTAGCCGATAAGGCTCCTTGGCGCCAAATTTATGAATTTTTTTGGTATTTGAGTGGGAACGACGTGGCGCGGGTGGATTGGCTGAGCGGTAGTGTATTTAATGGCCTCTGTCAGTAGGCTTTGTCAAAGTGTCGCGTCGCTCCATCGTGCGGTCGCTTCGAATGACGGCTCGCAAGGGGCAACCACGTGTACGCATCTTGGCAAAGGATTTTCAAGATAGACGGTGGAGATGATCGGGTGGTTTTACATAAATGGAAGGGGAGGCCAGTTTCGCTCCAGGTTCCGATATCTCTGCCATTATTGCCGTGCGAAAGCACTGAGTATTTTTCTGCGGAGAAACGAGTTGTGCACCACAGTCAGCAATGGAAATTCCTGGTAAGTTCTAGTTTCTTTCTTCCTTCCTTCCTTTCCTTCCTCATCCTTCTTTCTTTTCCTAGAATCTGTTTGTGGGTAGATTTTTCTGGGTTTAGTGTTAGTGTGCGTCTGTTTTTTTTTTCTTGTTTTGGTACGGTTTGATTTTTAGATTCCAACCCTACCCCTGCTTGGTTGTGTTTGAAGTGTGAATAAGCAGTAGAGCAAATGCCGAGCCGATCAGACATGTCTGATTCACAAGAAACACAGAGCAGAGGGTCGCCCTTTAGACGTGGTAGGGAGGATGAAGTGGTGGAGCAGATGTACGAGGCAGCCGACAAGATGGGGGAAGAGATGCTTACTGGGTTTGACGGGAATTTTGAATACCGACGGGTTGGAGGGGATGGGCCAGACGATATAGGTAGAGCTGAGGAAGGCGAAGTAGGTATTGCCGAGCAGATCGAGGTAGAGACTGCTGCGCAGGCAGAAGTTGGCATTGCCGATCAAGGTGAGGTAGATACTACCGAGCGTAGAGAGGTAGGCACTGCCGAGAATGAGGAGTTAGGTACTGCCGACCAGGGCGATGTAGGCACTGCCAATGAAGGGGAGGTCGGTGATGTATGGTCGGCTGATGAGTATCCGAGCACTATTACCCGGAAGCGGTTACGACGGCTGAGGGAGGAATACTCAATTCCGAGCAGTATAAGGCTCCGAGCACCGACCAAGAATGAGAAACCGAGCACACCACCCCTTGAATGGGTGACTTTGTGTTCCGATATGTTGAAGCAAGGGGTTCGGCTACCACTATCGCCGTTCTTGCAGGAATGGATTGCTCGGCTTGGTGTAGCTCCTCATCAGATGAACCCCAACGTGTACAGGACTATGGTAGTCGTCCAGGCACTGTGGCGACGAGTGCATGGGTCAGAGCCGACCATAAATCAAATGTTGCACTGTTTCCTACTGAAGAGGAGTCCCCAACAGGTCGGCTTCTGGTACCTTCAGAGTGCGGTGGGAAAAATGATAGAGAGCAACCCCTCATCCCAAAAGACATGGAAACCGCACTGGTTTTACGCCTCGGGGGCGTGGGAGTTTCCAGAAGGTGCCGAGCCAAGGCAACCCAGGGTTCAGAGGCGGTTCAGAATGCCAGGTCTGGTGGTGTGTCGGGTCTCCTCCTGTAGTGGGGTTTTTGCTGTGTGTTTACATTTTTTTATTATTATTATTATTATTTTTTAATTTTTGGGTTTGGTTCCTTTGCGTGCCCCTTCGTCTCTTTGTCGTTGTCCTTGCTTTAAATATTGTACTTTCTTGGGCACTTTCGAAGACATCTAATGTATGACCAATGCATGTAGAATTGGAGCGAGCTCATCTGTCAACTACCGAGCATGAGCAGGTTGAGGAAGTTCTTGCGTTGCCGAGCACGGAGAGAGCGGCAGACATTCTTCTAGCGAGTGAAGGGCTAAGCGAGTCAATAGGTAACTGACTGTTCTTCCATCAGCGTATACTTATTGGCGATGAGGTAGTACCGACTTGATTCGTATGCTCAGGGATGAGGCGAAACCGAAACGACCAAAATATGCAGGCAATGCTGAAGAAGCTGGCCAAGGGGACTTCAAGAGGATCGGCTGGGGGTTCACAACCTGATCGGGTGGAGGGATCTCCACAAATGTCAGTTGCTAGGAGCCAAGTCGCGAAAGCGGTTGCTACGCCAGCCCGAACCGGGCAGAAGAGGGGAGCCGAGGAACCTTCACATCGGGAAACGTGGAAGAGGCGTGCCAAGGTTGATCCGAGGCGAGATACAGGGAAAAGGCCAGCAAGTTCAGCTGCACCTGAGTTAGGGAAGAGGGTAAGTGTGGACCCTGTCACTGGTCCGTTGGAGCCCTGGGTGGATGATGAACTAGCCTTAAGTTCCTTCCAAAGGGCAGCGAAGCGGGTATTGAAGGTCGAGGTTGTAGAGCGCATGTTTACCGAGGAGATGGGGTACAGCGGTATGACGATGTCGGCTCTGGAGGACCAACTAAAGGTAATATATTCTGACCCCATTCTGGCTGCGTTGTAGACCTTGCTGTACTTATGTAAACATATATTTGTGCAGGCCACCTTCAAGCTTTTCGTCGCTGCTCAGAATGTTAATGCCCACCTGGATTTTGACCGAGGCAAGCGGAATGAGAATGCCGTCACCCTTGCTGAGCTGAACAGGACTATTGGGGAGAAATCGAAAGTGGTTGAGGAGCTAGAGCTGGTTCGAGGTCGTTTAGCAGCGGAAATGGAAAAGAACGCCGAGCTGCTGTCGTCGGTGAATAAGCTTGTTGCAGATAAGCGTGGGCTCATCCTGGAGCTGTCCAAGGCACAGAAGGACCGGGACGAGGCCAATCAGAAGGTTGAATCTTTCCCCGCAGAGCTACGGTCCTGTTATGATGATGCTGTGAAGGACTACCTCGGTTCGTCAGAGTATCAAGAGAAGCTCACTGCTCAGCGGGTCGAGGGCTACTTCGACTTAATTGAAAAAGTTGGAGATATGTACCCTTCTCTGGACTGGGGTTTCCTTAGAGGAGGATCTGAGGGGGCCGAGGGCCAAGGCGATCAGGGAGGCGATGTCGAGGTGGCAATGGAGACTTACTCCGAGGCGGTTGCAGAGGAGGCTGAGCCTGGCGCTGGGGACGGCGTATCTCAAACTGCTCAATTGTCCACTTACCCGACCCCACACGGCTAACCGGGTCAAGAAGTGGTGACACCCATCCCTGATTGTGTAAGGGATGTTTAGGTGTTTTTAAGACGTTCCCTCATGTTGAAACCTTTTGAGCAATATTTTTGTAGTTGGAACAATTTAAACGAGCCTTTGGTCGGCTCGGTGAATGTGTACGTGGAAAACATATCTTCTATTATTTAATTGTTGTAACCCGTTTTCTTTACTTATTGGAGTTGACTTTGGTTTGTTTGTTTTTGTTCGAACATTCATGTGCGTAATTTGTGTAAGCAGAGCCGACCAGAGGTGACGAATAAGAGGATAAACTTGAACTAAAACCCAAGAAGGAACAAGTAGATTCATAGAAAAGGAGGACGCAGAACATGACATTGTACAAAAGAGAACACAGGGTGGGTGTGTACAATGATTTCAAGCCGAGGTCTTGACAGGTTCGAGAAAACTGGATACCGTGTTCATGCTCAGAAGAAAATGCTGATAGGCTGCTGCTGCGGTATGTTGGCGAAATACTGGCAGGGTCGACAAGATGTAGCTAGGCGTTTGGTGTCAGCACCTGTGGTCCGTCAAAAATTCCCTCGCCGGCTCACCTTGTTCGTCATGGACTGAGCCTCTGCATGGTCACCACATATGCCCTCATGGATTTTTTGGATAGCCTCAAGTCGCTTCTCGGGGGTAACACAGACGAGGAGGGTTAGGGAGTGACCTCGTTTGTACAGCATCTGATCTATGATCGTATAGCGCGTGGCTCTGGTCTGGATAAGCCGAGCCTATTCCTTATCCTGAGGGAGCGCCCCATGAGTGAGGAATGCCCATATAGGTGTCGTCCAATTTGGTGAATCGTCAACCGCCATGGTGTTGCATTCAGTGAGGTCGATACTCTTCTCGGGTAAGTATGGCATGCTTGGTATTCGATTGGGATGCTTCTGGTGAGCTCTGTATCGAGTGCCGAGGCTAGGCGAGCAAGGCATCGGCTCGGGTATTCGGAGTGCGAGGGTTCTGGGTGATGGATTGTGAACAATGCAGTAGAGGAGCTCCTTGACCTTGCAGAAATAGGCGGATACGTGTTGCTCCCGCGCTTGGTATTCGTCCGTGACCTGATTGACAACCAGTTGGGAATCACTATGAATGCTGACATGCTCAGCCCCCAGTTCTTTTGCCAAACGCAGTTCTGATTTTTCGATGCTCGGAATCGGAACCAGAGAGCGAATTCTATGGTTTCGCCGCCAGAAGATACCAACACTGGGCCGGCACCACACCCTTGTAAATTGGAAGCACCATCGACAAATAAGGTCCACCGTGGTTTGGTCGGGTTGGTGGTCAAATTATCGCTCTTGCCACGTGCTGGAATATTCAAGGAGTAAAATGGGAGGGGTTCGAGAATCCCCATGGTGTCTTTTTTAATATAGAAATTTCTCATATATAATAAATAGGGTTATTTGTAGCAATGGTCCCTCAACTATACCCGTATTTACACTTTGGTCCGTCAATTCAATTATTAGTTGCAGGGGTCACTCAACTAGGTGCTATATTGCACCAGTAGTCCCTCCGTCAAACTTTGTTAAATTTTCTGTCAAAAGTGAGGGTAAATTCGGAAATTTATCCACAACCCTCCATTTTCGAGCTCTGAACAGACCATCAATTGATTCTACTCCATGGAATTGTTCTGCCCTTCAAGGTGCGGCCATCTCCAATGTCGGGCCCAAGCATCCAGATTTACAGGCTCATTGGAGAACCCCAAATCAAAGCTGAAAAACCCTATTCGTGATTACAAATAGGGTATACTAGTGATTTGCCCCCTGAATTTGTACCTAAGTTTCAATTAGCCCCCTATCCTTTTTTTTTAGAAAATTAAGGATATGAACTTCTTTTTTTCGCCAATTTCCCCCCTGCCGTTTAAATCATCAACATTTCATCCAATTTTCTGTTAAATCATTAAAAATAAATATATATTTTTTTTTGGAAAAGATTTAAAAAAAGAGAAGAAAAAAAAAATATGGCCCAACTCTTCTCTCTCTCACTCCATCCTCTGTCAAACCCCAAGCTCACCAAAGCAAGCAGGTACCCAAAATCCCTACCTACCCAGTGCCGACAACAACTCTCTCTCCCAAATGAAAATTCTCATTCTGATTTCCACCAAAACCAACTCCAGCCCCAGCCCCAGAAAACCATGCCCGACCCCTTCTCTCTCTCATCCCAAAACTTATCAAGACACCCATGGAAGTTTGGGGGAAGAAGGGGAAGAAAATTGATTGATAAAAAGGACAACCTAGATAGAAATCAAGACATTATAACCTAGAAATTGACAAAATTTGGAGTGCTATAGCAAGAAAAGAACCAAAGAACAGACCTCATTGGACTTGGTGCTGTCAAACCCTAGATTCTCAATTCATGCTTTTGAGAACGAAAGGGTGTTGTATTTGTGAGAGGGATTAGGGAAGATGATGGTAGGGCTGGGTGTGGCTGCTAACCATTCCAATGCCATCACAGCAGCCAGTGACCCAACCTCTTCCCAGAACGCAACCCACCCCCACATCCAAAAAATAAAACAAAAAACCTTATCCCCACCCACAGACCCAAACCCATTCGCGTCGTCCTCCTCCTCCAACTGTTGCTTCTTCGCGCGCTCGGAGGTCCCCACGTGTTGTCGGGTTGGGGCCAGAGCTGCACTTCGCTGTGGGCGTACTAGCACCCGCTCCTGTGGCTGCAGGAAGCGGACTCGAACCTGAAGTAGGAGCAGGGGGCTATGTTTGTGGCTGTGGTTTTCAGGGTTTTGCGGCGTCTGTGTTTGTGGCTATGGTTGATAGAAGGGATTGCAGAGAGAGGTAGAAAGACACACAGAGAGAGATGGCTGGGGAGGTTTTTTTTTAATTTTTTTAATTTTAATTTTTTTTTATAACTTTATTTATATTATTATTATTTCACATTTTAAATTATTTTATTTTATTTTCACATTGAAATGACCAATTTACCCTCATATTTAACGGCAAATTGGATGAAATGTTGAGAATTTAGACGGCAGGGGGGAAATTAGCGAAAAAAAAAAGTTTATATCCTTAATTTTCTAAAAAAAAAGGATAGGGGGCTAATTGAAAGTGAGCTACAAGTTCGGGGGTATTTCAGTAGTAAACCCTTTGGGAAAATCAGACTGCTGTCTAGTCATTGATAAACCAATATTGTGTCTTACCCGTCGAAGACCAAGGGGAGAGACAAAAGGAAGTCAAAATCCTGATCCTTCTTTTAGCCAAACATATCCCTCTATACTCCAGAAGCTCGACGCACCTCCCCAAAACGGCCTCCACCGCTCCTCTCTGTCTTTGATCCCTATACCTTATTATCTGTATTATTTCCTACACATTTATATATACAGTTTTAGTGCAATGGAGATCCAGTGTTTCTGCCACAGTACTGATGATTTGAAGGGCATTATGCGCTGTTTGGTTGAATCTTTGATGGTGGAGACTGCTCTTCTTGCTCACAAGTCTCTTCTTTTACTACTTCTGCAGGTACTACGTTACTCAATGCCAAATCATCTTTCTCTAATTTTGGCTCTGTGAATTATCTTTACCTTGAAGCTCATACATTGATGATTGATGCAATTGAATTATGAAGAATTCCTTTTTCTGGGTAGTTTTTTGTTCACAATAGTTTGAAGAATGCACCATAGCACCTAGTTGAGTGACCCCTGCAACTAATAATTGAATTGACGGACCAAAGTGTAACTACGGGTATAGTTGAGGGACATCTTACATTTGTTGTTTATTTTCACATTGAAATTCTGCCCATTTATTCATCTCCCTCAAAATAAAAAGAATAAAAAAAATTAAAAAACTAGAATATTGTACACCAACCACTGCACTCAGCTTTGCCTCCCCTGGCCATCGCCCCCGCTCTCTCAGTTTCTCTCTCTCATCTAGAAGAATGAGATCTGCATATTCCAATTGATCCCAAGTCAACTTTTGGCCAGGTCATATTCAATTGAAAAGTCTAAAGCTTTCTCATATGTTATCGAGAGAGGATGGAGAGATGGAGGGAAGAAGAGAGAGAGAGAGAGAGAGAAAGTGAAAGAGAAGGGTGCGGCAGCAGAGGGAGATAGTTTGGGTAACTCGTTCTTTTTTTTCTTTTTCTTTTTAAATTTTATTTGAAAGGGTAAAAGTATAATTTCATATCCAGCTGTAATTAGTTTTTAACTTTTAAAAATAAAATAGACATGTGGCAGATTTTGAATGGGAGTATCACCAGCTGACGTGGTGATACCGTACTATTCTATAATTTCTCCCTTTCCTCCCCAAGCTCTCTCTTCTTCTCTCATCTCCCCATCTCTGTCTCTTCCCATGTTTCTTTTTTTTTCCTTTTTTTTTTGTCTCACCCACTCTCCCCAGCTCTCTCTTCTCTTCCCATGTTTCTTTTTTGTTCTTTTTTTTTTCACCGATTCTACCTCTCTCTCTTTTCACCCACTCTCCTCTCCTCCCCCAGCTCTCTCTTCTCTCTTCTCCCCATCTCTGTCTCTTCCCCTGCAACTCTTTAGAAGAAATTTTCAGCCCCTTTCTCTTCCCATTGCTGCTCCTCCATCATCATCACCCAAACACTATGTATTGATTTCTCTCCTTTTTAATTTTATTGAGTTATTTATTTGGGAGTTTTGGAAATTTTGGGAATGGTGGAAGAAAGAGATGGAGAGAAGAGAGAAGAGAGAACACGGGAGGAGGAATGGCTCCTGATATATCAGGAGCCAAGCATTGTCCTTTATTATATATGAGAAATTTCTATATTAAAAAAGACACCATGGGGATATATTCGTAGACACGTACGCAGCTGAGTTGGATCGCTGAGAACTTCTCACAGCGGCAAGGGTTCGAATCCCTCCAAGCACAAGAAGGAGAATTTTCAGCATTTTTCACGTTTTTGGGTCAAAATATCGCGACATTATCATTTCATTTTGAATTTGCACGATAATATCCATCCCGAAATTTCGCCGATATTATCGACGATAATTTCGATAAAATGACGAAACATAACTGGTATGCAAGGAAAATTTTTCATTCCTTGGGGAGAACCCAAAAGAAGAGATTCCCAAATTATCAAACTGCACGTGATCACTAAGCACATACAGCAAAACAAAGGAACAAGTGTTTAAAACACCTAACACACACAAGGACTCCGTCTAGATAACCAATTGCTGGGTGAGAGACAACAATACAACCACAAGCTCAGAGGATTCAGAGCCATCCAG